AGAAGGTAGTTTGCGGAGTGGTAGAGTGAGGTTTAGCATGTCCGGCCGCCCGCACCTCGGCCAAAGAAAGAGCGTCCAGAGAGTGAGAACCGTGAGCAGAGAGTAGTAGATCCATCAGTTTATGTGTTGTGTGGGCGTACGGGTTACCGGCTTCCCCGCCCGAGGAGGAGGGTAGACTTAAGAGGTCTCACCCGAAGCCTCCGGTCATAGGGACCTGACCCGCAAGGCAGCGAAGCGAATTCAGTGAATCGCGCCGATTGGGAGCCGCTCACCGATCGCTCGGTTCATACGCATTTCGTTTGGCGGGCAACCAAACAGGGGCCCAATACACCCAGAATATTAGGCATTTCACGAACGTCATCCACTTCGAAAAGTTCTTATAATCAATTCGTACGTTGGCCAGCTCATCTCACAAAACCACAAATCCATAGTCACATTAACAAATCAACACAACATGACTACCTACACATGTACCTACATAAATCAAGTACACATAGATCCAGTATGTTACTGGCTAACTTGTGACATATTTGTTCGGTTACCGAGCATACGAGTTTTATTACGATGAAGACGCATTTCCAGGCGTACTTCACATTGACGAGAAATAAGCATTTACTTATTTATTTAATCAAATCAAAACTGGAAAGTGAGTGTCGCTATATATCACATCCAGTAAACTGTCGTGTCTCGTTGCCATACCCCAGTGGTCTTCACCACAGACTGATAACAGTCAAGTTGTGCACTGAAGCCCCACAAGAGTAAGATAGATTGCGCACGGCTGACAATCCCCGAAATGATGAAACGGCCGTACAGTGCTTTTCCAGGCGTGTGGTAGCTATCTGGGTGGCTTGCACCACCAGCCGGTAGCACATGTCACTGAGCCATGGCAGATAACAGCCAATCCGTAGGAGTTAAAATCTGACGGCGATAAAGCCCGACCCATAGTCAGAGTGGAGAAAATATGGAAGATCTATCACAGCTGCATTCGGTCAATTAGTGAATATTCACAGAATCGTCAGACAGCCTTTCTTTCCGTTGGGTACCCGTTGGTAGTTTGTATTCCATATATTCAGAGAGGCTAGAACTCACAAACCCTGCTTCAAGTCATCGAAATTATCAGATAAAAATACGAAAATTGGCAAAAGTAATAATAATAATATCATCATCGTAATCAATACACGTCAGCCGAGGGTGATGAACATACCACAATACAAAAAAGCAAAGCATTAAGCAATGTGGACCTAAAAGCTATAAAAAGTAACTTAATTCTAAAATCACGTTTTCCGATGGTTGCTGGAGGAGAAAGCTAGAGGGGAGAGGAGAGACAAAGAGACTCAGATCACAAATGTCACTGAGGTGAACTCCCCGTCATGTCAGCTAGTGTATCTAGCCAAACGTGATCATATTCCTTCGGTCACCTGCCACGCAGTCGGAAAACACCAAACGACGCCAACTTCGAAGTGACGGACTTCATTCCACTTGACCAAGTCATCGCTTGGCCTCCCATGCTCTTCGACTATCCACACCCCCGGCGAGCAAATAACACACGTCGCGGGAATCGATGGGCTGGCATGCGCAACATGTGGACCAGTCGTCGGAGTCTGGTGTGTGCTATAATGCTGCTTAGCGGTTCATTCGCTCTTCCTGCACCAAATATGCGACGTCCAACACGCTCATTAGTCACGCGGCGTTCCCACCAGACATGAGCTATGTTGCGGCGGCAGCGATGGTCGAATGTAATTAGCCTCTTTATGTCAGCTGATCTAATGGGCCAGATTTCGCAACCGTACAGAAGCGTTGAACGGACGGCTGCATTACAAACTCTGCCCTCCAGAGCGACGGTAATGTCACACCGGCGCCACAGATGGCGTAGCTTAGCAAAAGCGCATCCAACTTTTGTTATATGGTTCGTAACCTCACCTCCCATCCCACGGGCGCTAATATAGCTGCCCAGGTATTTGAATTCCTGAACGACTTCTAGCTGATCACCACAAAGCGTTTGCGCAGGGTTGGGTCCCTGCCAATCTTAGAGAAGTACTACGCATTTCGATGGTGCAAAGCATAGTCAGAAAAGACTGATAGTCACAGCTAATTTATCCAGTGCAGCTTGACGCGTTCCGGAGCTGTCAAAGATGAGCGCAATGTTGTCCGCATATTCCAAGTCAAGAAGTTGTTCACTAAGGAGCAGCTCCACACCTTTCAAGTCGTGCTCGGCGAACGCCGTTTGCATAACTTCGTCAATGGCGAAGTTGAAGATGAAAGGTGACAGCGGGCAACCTTGTCTCACACCGCCGGAGATACTGAAGGGTGGCGACAGCTTGCCGTAAACCCTCAAACCGCCAGAGCTATGCGCGTAGAAAGCTAAGATAATGTTTACATATTTCTCGGGTACACCTTTCCTGAGTAGACATTCCCAAAGAGCACATCGATCAAGCGAATCAATAGACGCTTTGATGTCTAGGAACACGATTACGGTGGGTCGCCAACAAACATGGTGATCTAATAACTGCCGTAATGTGGTCAGTGCAGCCTCGATTTCGACGAAACTCGGCTTGCGCCTCGCGCATCTGACTTTCGCGAGTGCGTTAGTCTATGGAGGACGACAGACGCAACAAACTTAGAGGCAATGGAGATCAGACTTATTTCCCTATGACTGCCGCATTCTAAACAGGTTTCCCTTAAAAATTGGAACTATTACGGAGCGTCTCCAGTCTGTGGGGACAGTCTCCTGCTCCCATAGATTCACTAGTAAGTGATGTAAACCCAAAGAACAGGGCTGGTTGAAGTTTATCTGTTTCGGCGGCCTTGTTCAGTTTAAACAGTCTGACCTGACGTTCGACTGCTGCGCGCGACGGCGCATAAAATGGGACGGCTCAGGGAGTAGGACGCTCATTGGCCGTTGGAGAAACTGGCAACTCTGACTGATTAAACTGTTTCGCAAAGTGTTCGGCCCAACGCTCTAAGCGCTTTGACAAGCTGTGGATCGGCTGTCCACAGTCGTCGCGTATGGTCTTGCTAACACCAGGTTTCCTGCTGCCCATTTCTCGTACCAAACAGAATGACTTCCGATGGTTACCAAGGGCAACGGCGGTTTCCACCTCCGCTTCGCCGTCGCTTTTCAGGCAAGCATGTAGTTTCGCCCGGAAAGCCTTGCTAGTCTCATTGTATTCGCTCCTAGCCGGAACATGGCGAGCATCCATAAATTCCAGACCCTGTACAGAGAACCAGTGTCCACGTTGGAAGTTTGATTTACCACATGAAGAAATGCCTGCTACTAATAATCTGGCGGATATGCGACCAGTGATCTTCAACTGTGTTCAATGGGCGATTACTCAGCTCAGATGCTAGGGTACTTTGATACGCATTCAGAACATCTGGCTTCACCAGCTGGCAAATATCCATGCATTCACAGCGTCGCTGCGCACGTCTACCGAAACGTACCCGGAGATCGGCACAGACAAGAGCGTGATCGGAGTCCACGCTCGTGCTCCAAATCGAACGATAGTTTTGAGCGTATCCTCCCCAACGGTAACTGACCGCAATGTGAGCGATTTGCATCCATGTCTGGTCCGTGGTTGCCATGTCACCCTCCGGCGAACGCTGTGTCGGAAATTAGTACTCGTAAAGAAATAGACGAGCATCTTAACACAGGTGTAGCAATCGCTCAATGTTATCATTACGGGAGATTACACCGTGTTGACCGCCCAGATGAAGCCCATCAGTGGACAGTTTTCCGATCTGGGCGTTCAAATCACCAACATGTACCACCGTATTCGTATTTTTCTGTGACGGAGGAGCGTGTTTTATTGGTGACAGAAGCCGCCTTTCAATGAGTCGGCGCTATAATTTGTGGGCGCATAGGCCGCAATGACAAACAAGCACCATCTGTCCCCACGTAAATTCGATGCTTTGAACCATCCAGCCAATCTGACATCCGGCTGTTCATTGGGACCTAATCGATCAGGGCAGATTCAGCTCGGGGCCTAAGAGCAATGCTCACAAAGGCTTAACTGGCATTTGAAGCCGCTTCATCTCCTGACAAACGCAATGAGAAAATAGCGCCAGTGTTGCACGTTGGGGGTTGGAGGGTAATCACAGAACGGGAATCTTGTAGCCGAGTTTCTGACAAGCAGCAGACATCGATCGATAGTGTCTCCAGTGTCCGGGCAAATGCTGCCTGTTGGCCAGTTAGCAACAAAGTGCGCACATTGAGGCATACCAGTCTTAGGGAGGACCGAGGGCTCCAAATCATCGCAGATGGACTGACATTCTCCGCTTGGATGGATATGAAATAACCGACTGGACCGGACCGACGCCCTGCAACTGCGTGAGTCGATATTAGAAGACGAAGGAATACTGAACAAAGATGGGGGAGAGCCACGAATTGTGGGATTGAAAACACGGGGGACAAAAGCGAAGTTGGAACGGGACGATAAGGATGAAAAAGTGCAAGAGGAGGAATAAGAAGACGGGAAGGCTTGAGCAGTGTCACTCAAACCGCCATCCACCCCGCTGGATGCAGCAGATAGGGCGCCGCTAATTATCCTCTGCGACGGCCAGAGCATCAAGAGAGTATTAGGAAAAGTTATAATGTATTGCGTAAGCAGGAAACTGTCAGGTTGCCCAGGCCTAGACAGGAGAACGATTAGTGTTTTCAACCAAAGCCTTTGTTTCAAAAATTGACCGCAAGGCTGTGGGATTTTGGCGCTGGACTACAGAGAGTCCGTTTCAAAGGAATAAGGAGCCACCATCACTCCAACCCCCAATCTGAAGGGCCATAATACTGAGTTTGTCAGGCCTTTAGCCATTGGCCAATCTGGTACGAGTGGCTCTGAAGTACAAAAGCACCACCACCCAGCATAGTCCAATGGATCGCTGAAACATACAAGACATTGCACTGCGTTAAGATCCAGTCTCGTCGCTCAAAAACAGTTTAGTATCAAAGCAGCGATCGGATGAGTGAAAATGAGAACAGAAACAGACACCAAACGTATTCATACCTCGAAAATTACTTCAAAAGAGTTGAACTCCTGCAACCGGTCCTCCCAACCCTCGGCTGTGCAAAACACTAGCAACGAAAGAAAAATACAGGAATTACGCGAGGTCATAATCGAGCAAGAAACTACTCAGAAGATCTGAAGCGAGTGCACACGAGGCAATGAGTTACGGCAACCGTTATCCGTGAGGGGCTAAAGGTCTAACTTGTAGAATAAAACTGATGATTGACCGCAGTCGATATTATCTAGACTTCTGGGCTGGATAAATGGAAAATCATTTGAGGCAAGCACAAAGGTACAACAATTGCGCACATGAAGCCATCGAAATAGACTAGTGGGTTTGCAGTTGTGATAAGTTAGGCTCAAAGGATACCCGCCTTCCACGGTGCGAAGTATATGCTGCTGCATCCATTTGGGCGAAACCACGAGGCATAAGGACACGAACGAATTGACCTTGAGGTATGGTCAGAGTGGCGCGTGCCATTTGTGTAAATGAAGGTTTCGGAACAAATCACAACAGTGGTTTGATATCCAATGTAACATGACGCGATTGCTTGTAGGCCAATGCCAATAATAAACCAAGAAAAGCTAATGCATTTTCAGAAAAAGTCTCTCCCTTGTTTTCTATTCGTGATGAAAAGCACTTTCTGACTATTTCCATTTACTGTTATCTTGGCGACACTTGTCGTGGCAGCTGGATACAATGGAGTTCAATGGAATCAGCCATGGAAATAGATTTGAAAAACAAAACAGAGTGACGCATCAAAACAAATATTACGATCCAGTAGTTCCATACAGACCAATACAAAAAACGGTAAAGTAACCAGGCGTCTCGGAAATGTCTGCACCCATCTATTTAAGAAGGAATAAATCGTAGGAGATAAAATCCACCGAACTGACTTGAGGGCAATGGTGAACCCAGCTGGTCTGTGGTACTTGGCAAACCCGAACCGTAGCCCATAGAACCATGGACTGCCCTCGTGCGAATGGAGAGAGCCTCACGAGCAGACACAAAGAAGACGTGCTCTTCAGCCTCTGCTTGTGTACACACTTTGAGCTCGTCCACTAAAAATGCAACACAACGCTGAAGATGTTGAGCCCGGACCTAGGTGGGTGAATAAGTGAACGATGTGCGATTTTGAGGATAAAGCGTCAAGTGAGGGCTGGTGGATGTGTAATCAACAAATAATGACGTGGGATGGTTGGGGGCGCGTAAAAACGCCAGATTATAAACGAACTGAGTCGAAAAGATTGGTCAACTGATAGACATAACATCAAATTTCCATCATCGACAACGTGCGCATTTCTTGTACCCGAACGCTATTTTTGCTCTTTCTCGTCTGCATGAGGCCAAGCCACTAAGGCTGGTAGGGGTCAAAATAAGATTTCTTAGAAGGTTTAATAATGATCACAAATCCACAAATGAAACAGCATATTACACATTTTAACACCAAGAAAAAGAAAGCTTTACTACCAATGCGCCCCAGTGTTTTCTCTTGGCTCTTCGAGATTCCCGCTAGAATTGCCCAATTTCATTCGCTGAGAAACGCAGCTCAAGATAGTCAAGTCGTTTTATCAGAATGGTGATGCAAAGCTCCGGTCATGTGGAAATCACCCATCGGTAACAGATCAATTCATGGAGTACAACGAGATGCGGAGAACGCTGCGTTCGTAGAAGAGTATTTATTGGAATAAACAAACTCCCAGCACGGCACTTTACGGTTGATTTCTTGGTAATGGTACCCTTGGCGTAGAGAACACAGGTAAACGATATGACCATTACACCATCGGCATCCGCGGGCAATGTTACTCAAAACGGTTGGTGATTCTTTGCCTCGTTGCACGAGAACAGATTGTGAACGCGCTCCCATTCGCGGAATTGTTACCCCTAAGATATGACCCACGTGACCGCGCCGACGAGACCCACATCAAGGAAGATTACGGTCCGAGCTAAGATTGTGTCTCAATCTATCTACGATATGAGAGCACCAAACGATTAAAAACAAGGAGGCATTAGTCGTGGCAATAACAGTCACTTGCGAAATTTAGTGGAGTAGTGTAGTGGGGCCGCCTAAAGGCAATCCCCATGCACCGACTTCGTGTCCCAGTTCGGCTATATGCCAAGCTGTAAATTCCAAAAGCGGATAACAGCAATCGTGGAAATCAGCGTCCGAAACGAGGAGTTTCCAGTACATTTAGCTGCTTTAGATGAGACCAGAGTAACCAATTTGAAATAACATGGCGTAATTCGTCTACATGTGCACATGAGCCAAGACCACTTCGTGTTGCACAATAGGAGATGCACATTACGTACGTAGAGACAGTACATTACATTTGCTGTTCGGTGGCCGTCCCAAAACTTTTACACGCGTCGTAATGATAAAACAGAAAGGGAGCTTTGAGAATGATGACTAATCAATGCTGTGAATGAGCCGAAAACGTTCAAAGAAAGCGCCAAATGCGACAAAAATGAGCATTTGGATTGATGTTTTTATAACAATAAAAGCTCACCTCTTTGACGTACTCCATTTCGTTGGCTGAGGCGTCCCATCTGTTGTTAATTATAAAAATATTCGGTTTGGAGAGGCGCTGGCTGACTTTGTGGAAAAAATCCTTTTCCTGGAGGAAAATCAGAAGGAACGCGATAAGCAACATAATTTCGCGAAGGTAAGTGGAGTAATGCCTTTGAATGTGTTCAGACTGAACAAAAGCATCCAGTGATTCGAACAGTAGTGATATCATGTCGCACACTAAGTTTGAAGAATTGAGACAAGGAAATCCAGGATGTGGAATAGGCCAATAGAGCAATATCGGCTTAAGAGCACTCAGATATCCATTGCTCAAAACGTTTGCTTAATGCGCCCAACTTTCACATTAGGTCCGCTTCGCCATCTCATCCATTAGCGCGGTGCAGCAGCGATGTATTCCAGCAGCTGCGAATGATGGTGGTGATGATGCCAGCAGAGAGCATGATCAGAAAACTTTAAGTTAGATGGGCTAACACGCAGTTTTTAGTAAAAATTTTATTACATTGGTTGGAACGAAGTAGGGGGCAAATAACAACATTAACGATACATCGACATTTCACACAGAAGTTACGTCATCATACGAGCATAAGGAACCCCCAAAGAGGAATTGTAATGACAAAGAACAGGACTATAATGATGGGGACATGCGAAATTCCTCAACTGGACATCCGATGTGAAGTTTACCGATTGCAGAAACATCCGCATTACGCTTGACGGCAAAATACAGTCCCACCGCAGCGCGATGAGAGAGAGCTCGGCTGTTCCACCCCACCATGAGTCGCTCCGTTGCCGAACAACGAAATCGCATACAATGCCTCTTGATGAAATACAAGGAAAATCGGAATTGGGTTGAGATGTGACCAGTGTGTATGGACAGGTTCCAAAACAAGTAATATAGAATGATGAACTACGCGACCGGAAGCTTACAGTGATGCGGCGCATCTTATGGTCCATCTCAAGTCAGCCGCCGAAGGACACCACCAAGTGGCACACCGATATCAAATGTGCCGCATAACTGTTGATTAAAAAGCATTAACTAAAGGCGCACGGTCGCGAAGTATTTGTCGATATTTGTGTGTTCCGAACTAAGCACAAATATCCCTCCTAACCGACATTCTGGAGTTCGGATAACCCAAACGAGCAAACTTCGTTCCTGCTGTACGGTTGTGAAATCTAGCCCATTAGATCAGCCGACATAGAGGCAAGCAAGCTACGTTCGACCACCGTTGCCTGCGCAGCTTGGTTCATATCTGGTGGGAACACCGTGTGAGTAATGAGCGTGTTCGACAGCTTATGGCACAGGAAGAAAAAAGTGTAAAGCTCAGCACCGTTATATCAAATACCAGGTACCGATGGCTGGGCCATGTGTTGCGCACGCCAGCATATCGACTCTCACGACGTGCCTTGTTTGCGGATGCGGATGGAAAGAAGAGGATGGAAGAGGAGAGGTGTCCAAGCGATGTCTTGATCAAGAAGAATGAAGGCCCTTACTTTGAAGTTCGTCTCGGCTGGAGCCTCTAGGCTACCTGGTTGGGGACCGAAGGTCCATCAACACGTTTGGCTGGATACACTTGCTGACATGGCTAAGAGCCGACTTCAATGGCGTTTGTGTTGTGAGTTGCTTAGTCCCTCCCCCCTCGCTTAGCCTCCCCCTCCAACCATGATTTCACATACCAGGCATAATGGTACTCTACTTTTGTGGCACAATAGCCGATTGTTTGTTCGCCGGAGCGATGTCCATCCGTTACAGTTGAATCAGCCAAGGTGTCTCTGTTGTATGTGTTTCTTTTCTGTTGTATTGTGGCACAATAGCATTCAAAGTCGCTGTCATGTGTAACCGCTATACTGTTCATTGGCATGATTCGTGTTGGTCGGTTGTGGTAAATAATATGCAGTAGTTAAGGAGTAGAAGTGACAGACTGCTAAGAGTTAAGCGCTACTGTGTCTCGAAAGAAAGAAAAGCGCTGTAGAATACCTATCAATCAAGTCTCCGTTGGACCGAAGATAAACTGGAGGCCACAGAGCCGTGAGAAACTTGCGAAACATTCAAGATGGATGGTCACAGAGGAACGGATGTGAAGTGCCACAGCGGGTCAACTCGTCATGACGGTTACTAGAGTTCAGTGGTTTCGACAACCATTCGGAGAGAATAAGGCCGCAGAACCACGTCAGCTAATGAGAATGGGCGAAGCTGAAGGACTTGAGAAGGACGAAACAATCATCAAGCACTTTGATCCAGTGAAAATGTGATGGGATTGTGCAACCAGAAGGACGATACGATTAGCCTGGTGAAGCAAGCGAACACAGCAATTACTTGGACAGCTACGTACAATTTGTCAACGCGCTGATTGGTTCGCTGGAGCGGGTCTGTTTAACTGATCCAAGGGAAGAATCTCATGAATGTAGCAGCGTCGTTAGTTAGGGAAATGACTTAGTTATTTACATCGAGATTCCTACATGCTTGTCATGCGGTCATTTTTGCTGAGCTCGCTTTGCAGAATAAACCGCTTTTCCCTGAAGGACCGAGTTCTGCGACAGTAAGTGTGGCAGAATCCTCTTATAAGGTCATGTGAGGTGAGTATCCCAGATAAACTCGTGATATCAAGAAGTATTCGGCAGTTCCGAGTTGGAAGCTGAAGGAACCAGCCCCCGTGCGATAATAACTACATCGTTCCAAGAATAACATCAAACGTGCAAATGGAAAGGGATAAAATAAAAAGGGTCATTCATGTAACCCACGGCTTGCATCAAAGTAGATTCCGCGTTGGCTACCAGGATAAAAACATCAGCATCCAGACAGTGTGAGTCGATCCATTTGTCAACATCGGGATCTACATTAATACCCGGACTGTCCAGCAAGACGACATCCTCCCGGAGAAGGCGGCAGTGAGCGCTGGGCCAGTAAATTTGAATCAGCGAGTCCGTGGCTAATTTGACGCCGCTCAACGCGTGCGCAAGCTGACTAACTGATTCGATGGGACGATACTAAGAAAAGAAACACAAAAAGAGTGTAAGTCATACGAGAACAGTGGTAACACATTTCCGTGTGAAACGAAATATACACTCATAAAGTAGGAACCCGTGCACACATACTGTGTGGCGTAGGGGGTGGATGGGTGGCAGTGGTGAGGGTGAACAATAACAAGTGTGAGGTGTGGCAAATCCACTGGATTGTGTGTGATCATCCTCATCATCCCCATTAAAGACAACGGGAACGGCGAATGAAATATACAGACATACTGCACTGGTATCTCGCTGTCGTACAGCCATCCAAACAGTGATGCGATCACAGCCAAAATAAGTGAGAAAAAAGAACAAGGAGGCACGTGAATAAAAGTCCTGACGTATAAGGCAAATGTTAAGGAACAAAACCCCATACATAGTGAACATCGTACGGTGACAGACAGCGGGTTACGATGCAAAGATCAGGAAATTGAAACGTATACAAGAAGTGGCAGTATTTTGAAGCTAGCCAATGTGCATGGATGATAAAAATAGTTCATGAACTGATCAGGTAGCTGAAGATGACATATCAGATAGACAAACTAAAGAAAGTAAAAAGGTGATACGAGTAGACGGTGAAACAACTATGGGGTTTCCAACGACAAGCACGATTTATCCAATGGGCCCTGTTTTCTCTTCGCTTCAACGTTGTGGCCGAAGAGTCAACTATCGTCGGTCTAGATGATCCCATATGGGGCAGGAGTTCTGCCAGAGGACTGACAATATCGAAATAAGCGGACGATATAATTCGTTGAGGTGAGGCTAAACAAGATGACCCAGAGCGTTGCGAGCATCAGTACGGATTCTGTGCCTTCTATGTGCAGGGTACGAAAGCTATGTAAGTCAACAAGACACCGGCACCCAGTAGAAATGAATAGTCACTGGAAAAGCCAACCGGATCTTGTTAAAGCAATGCATAAATCTGTATGAAAATCAGTAAGGCAATATCATTAGGTGAAAATTTAAACAACATATATGCGGCAGAGAAATAACACAAAATTCTGATTAAAGGAACTTAGGAACTGCACGCATGATTATGCTGACTGCCGTTAGCTAAGAGAGTGAAACTTGGTCTCATCATGACGAGACAGAACCTTAACGTGGTGAGATAATTTGTGTGCCTCAACGACCTACTGAGCTATGCTGGGTGGTGCTTTTGCATCTTCAGAGCCACTCCATACCAGATTAGTCAATGGTTAGAGGCCGGACAAACTCATTTTCATGGCACTTCAAATTGGGGGTTGGAGTGAGGGTGGCTCCTTATTCCTTAAAACTGACTCTTTGTAGCCAAGCGCCAAAACCCCGCTGCATTGCAGTAAGGTTTTTGAACCAAACGCTTTGGCTAAGAAGCTTAATCGTACTCCTGTCTAGGCCTGGGCAACCTGACAGTAGGCTGCCCACGCAATACAATGACTACCTACAAACCATTTATTGACGCTCTGGCCGTTACAGAGGATAATTAATGGCGCCCTATCTGCTACACTGAGCGAGGTGGGTAGGGGTTTGGATGCTACTGCTCAAGCCTTCTCGTCTTCTTATTCCCTCCTCTTACGCTTTTTCATCCCAATTGCTCCATTTCAACTCTACCTGTATCTCCCGGGTATTCAAACGCAATTCCTGGCCCCCTTCCACCTTGCTTTGATAAGTGTTTGTCTTCTAGTTTCAACTCACATGTAAATGCGGAGCGTCCCTAATACTCTGTCGATAAACCCATGTCCAACCAAGCGGTCAACTCCAGTTCATCGGCTTCTATTTGGAGCAATGGACTTCCCTCAGATTGGCATGTTTCAATGTACGCACATTGATACAGATCGGTCAGCAGGCAGCACTTGCCCGAACATTAGAGACCACCTCGATAGATATCTGTTACTTATCGAAAACTCGTTTGCAAGACTCGAGCTCTGTGCTCACTCTGCGACTCATTTCAGGTGACGGTAGCAGTGCATTCTCACTGGGTGTGGGTGTCGCCCTGAGTCCCCGGGCTGCTCTGGTTGATTGCATTCCAGTCAGTAGCCGAATGTGTGCCGTAAGATTGACTGGCTTGCAAACTGAACAAGCTCCTTCGTTGCAGAAGAAGATCGGATACGGTAGTGTTGGCTGCGGATCTGAAAGCTCAAGTTAGAAAATTGTCCCTGATGAAAGTAATAAAGCCATGAGGAGTACGTCGGTACGCAGTAACGACGCTACGCCGCTGCGCAACCACCAACGGTCGCATAGGGGCTAAGGATACTCTGAGGGTCGCCCGGCCCCGATGCAGGCTCGAATCCATGCCCTCAGATAACGAAACAAGCACCTTACCCTTAGGCTACGAGCTGTCTGTCATTTGTGGTGCAGGCTCCTGTAGTGATAACGGTGAGGGGTCACATCATTTGTGTAAAGATGTTCGCCTATTTCTCGCGAGCACTAACTTCCGACGCAACACCCGCCGGAGGGTGACATGGCGCATACCGATCTTGGACCATCCATGAAGGCAAATCGATCACATCGCGATCAGTTACCGCTGGACGACCGCGTCTAAAACTGTCCTCGATTTGGAGCACATGTGTGGACACTGACAATGAACTTGTAAGTGTAAATCTGCGGGTACGTCTTGACGGACGCCCACGACGACGCTGTGAGCGCATAGACACCCGCCAACTGGCGTAGCTAAATGTTCTGAATGCGTGTCGAAGAACGTTGGCATTCGAGTTGAGCAAGCTCTCAAGGAATACAGTTGTAGTTCAATGGCCGCAAGTTCACCAGGAATTATTAGCAGCAAACAAATCCTCACGAGGCAAAGCAAATTACCAAACTGGACATTGGGTCTTTAAGCAGTCTCTGGAACTTCTGGATGCTCACCGGAACATTGCGGCTGGAAGCAAACACAGCGAGAATCGAAAAGACCTCAGGATAAAACTTCGTGCTAGCCTGAAGAGACCGCGAATCTTGGTGGTTTCATCGTTTGTCGGAGATGAAAGTGGCCGCTGTTTTTGGTAACCATCGGAAGTTGTTTCGTCTGATACGGGAAACGGGGAACAGGAGACCTAGTGTTAGTGAAACTAATTGCGATGAGAGTGGACAGCCTATCCACAACTCGTCAAAACGTTTGCAGCGTTAGGGCTGAGCACTATGAAACGCAATTTAATCGGTCGAAATTGTCAGATTTCTCGCCGGTCAGTGATCGCTCTGATCCCTGAGCTGTCCCTTTGGAGTCACTCCATCGCTCAGAAGTCGAACGTGAGATGGGACTGCTGAAGTCGAATAGGGATGCGGAACCAGATGGTCTTCTTCCAGTCCTCTTCAAATTCGGGAGACCTGCTCTTGTGAATGATTTACACGAGTTATTAGTGAAACTGTGGGAGCAGAAAACTGTCCCAACCGACTGGAGCCGTTCCGTTATTGTCCCGGTCTTCGAAAGGGCATCAGTAGCACGTCGGTACACAGCTACCACTAGTCGTAAGTGGGCTAAGAAGACTGCGAAGGTCGCCCGGTCCCTATACAGGTTCGAATCCGCACCCTCGGACTACAAGGCAGGCTTGTGATCCTGAAGGCTATGGGCCGGTTCCCGATCACGTTCAGAATGTGACAAATATAAAGGAATCCGTCTGATCTCCATCGCCTACAGGTTGCTTACCTGCCATCGTTCAATGTCATCCGTAAAAGCCAGATTCATGAGGATCAAGCCAGGTTTGGTCGAGGTCGGGGCTGCATCGACCACATCTTCATGTTGCGCCAATTGTTGGGGCACAGTCATATATTGGTGACTCATCGTTGACGTGTTCCTCGACATCAAAGATGCCTTCGATTCGGTGAATCGATATGTTCTTTGGAACTGTCTGCTTAGGAAAGGTGTATCCGAGAAATATGCAAATAGTATCAGAGCGCTATATGCACTTATCTCGGGCAGAGTGAAAGCTTACGGTAACTTGTCACCGCCATCCAATATCTCCAGCAGTGTAAGACAAGGATGCCCGCTGCCACATTTCTTCTTCAACTTCGCTATTAACGAAGTCATGGAAATCACGTTCAATGGACACGACATAGGTGTGGAGCTGATGCTAGGTGAAGAGCTTCTCGACTTAGAGTATGCTGACGACAATGCCCACAGCTGTGACACTTCACAAACGTGACAAGCTACTATGGACAAAATAGCACTGCCTGTCTGCCGTTTCGGGCTTTGCTTTGAACCCTCAAATTACAAAGCTTTCCTCCAAGATTGGCAAGGACCGCCTCCTGCGCTGACTCTTGGTGGGGATCAGCTAGAACTCGTACAAAAATTCGACTACCTAGGCAGTTGTATCAGCCTCCGTGGAATCTAAGATGAGATCACGAACCGTATAGCAAAAGCTCGAGGCGACTTTGCTAAGCTTCGCCACCTATGGCGCTGGCACGACAGCATTATCTCCCTAAAGAGTTTACAATGCAGCCGTACGTCTGACCTTAATGTACTGTCGTGAAACCTGGTCCATTAGATCGGTGAACATAAAGTAATCAGTTACGTTCGACCACCGGTGCCTTCGCAGTTTGGCTCATATCTGATGGGAACACCGTGGGAGCAATGAGCGTGTTCGACGTCTTGTTTACGGCACGAGAAAAGGAAGGGAACCGCTCAGCACCGTTAGTTCACGAAGCAGGCTGTAATAGTTAGGCCACGTGTTGCGTATACCAACACACCGACTGCGGCAAAGTGCGTCGTTTGCGCGATCGGACTGTGAATGGAAAAAGAAAAAGGGCGACCAGTCAACTGAGCAATCAGTCACCGGCTCCCAATGGGTGCGATTCCCTGAATTCGCTCCGCTGCCTTGCGGACAGGCTATTCAGCCAAAGGCTCGGGGTGGTGCCCCCTAAGTCAACACCCTACTTCGGCTTGGGCAACCGGGTAGTATGTCGCCCTCTGAGGAAACCATGGACATTGTTGTGTTGTGTTTTATTTTACTATTTCTGTACCTTCGTTTGAATCCCATGGTTTCTGATGGCATTATGTCTATTCGTAGACTTTTGCAAATATATATATATATATATATATATATATATATATATATATATATATATATACTCAACGACATGGTCAAGAGGAATGAAGGCCCATACATCGAAGTTGGCCTCGGTTGAAGCCCGAAAGACGATGAACACGTTTGACTGGATACATTTGTCAACATGCCAAGGAGCTGATCTCAATGACTTTTGTGTTGTGAGTGGCTTTGTCCCTCTCGTTTAGCCTCCTCATCCACCCACGATTTCATTTCTGACACATAATATAACTTTGTTGAGGCACAATAGCCAGTCACTAGCTCTCCGAAAGAATGTCCATCCGTTACTGGTGACTCGGCTGGCGTGCCACTGTTGCGTCATTATCTCCTTTCTCGTGTATTGCGGCACAATAACGTGCATAATGATGACGATGGAGTACATCGAAGTTGTTCTATCTCTTCCTTTCTCAAAGTTCGCGATCGAAATCGCTATGAATGACTTTATCCTGCTCTCTTCCACTGGTCTTGGGATTGTAGTTTGTTTAACCGCAGATTGCCGAGCGAGGCTTACATTAACAACATACCCCTATTAGGTCGGGTATAGCTATCATTCAAGCGCTATCAAATAGACTGCTTGTAGCGTCGAATGCTTTAGCAGGAATTAAGCACCGTTGCAGGGCTGTACCGATACATGACCAGCTTAAACAAGCATGAAACAATCAATCGAGGGTGCCCATTGCGATAACAATCTATTAGGTAGTTTCGAAGATCGCTACGGCTCGCTCCATCTTACAAAGACTCAGTGAGTCATGGAGCCAGCAGAATGCATCATTGTTGGTTGATAAGGGGGTTACAATGTTGGGACTAGACCAGCGTCACTGTGTCGATAGATGGATGAATGAATTGTGATTGGTCGGTTCGGCTGGTCGTCTTAAAACAGCACAAGTGTAGGTGAACACGCATTACTTCATCCTGCATGCAACCGCTGGTGAGTGAACAGCAGCGAAGCGTCGACATGGGAATTCGGTGTGCTTATGAAACATTTGGCTTGATAAACGATGCCCGCAGTAGAGTCGATTGAGTGCAACCTGCCGTTTGTTGAAAGGGTTATCTGGAGCCTCATTTGAATACCAGTTGTGCTCGCAACACCAAAGATGGTTAGTTAATTCGATACACATGCTTGCATAATGGATGCGTTGGTGTGCACTAGTTCTCGATTATGCGCCTAGTTGGGCAAAATTCTTGAGGCAGATAGCCATTAGCGTAGTGAAGGTGCATGAGGGGGAGTAGGATAATCGATTGTTCTCTTGGAATCGGCTACATCAGTAGATGAACAACGCATCCGATTTGAAGGGGTCACGAAGACAGTGATCTCTCACACACACCCTATGCTGACTCTAAAGTACTCCACATATTTTCAATTATTATCTACTCCTTTAGAAGTAACATTGTTGTTATGAACTCCACTACTTTGCCGATGATTTGAGTCAAGGAAACTGGCTAGCGAAACTCATCGAGCCCGTCCGGGAGGGACTGACACGGTAAGCCTAAGAGGTACACCTGAATTTGTTAACAAGATATGTAATTTAAACGTAAAAGGGAAGCATATGATCTCTTTCGATGTATGCTCGTTATTCACAAATATCCTTTTGGAAGAAACATTAGATATAATAGCCAGACATGCTGAGTAAATCGGGATCCCACCGTTCCAACTGAAGTCATTACTCCGCTTATGCATCAGATATTCACTTCCGATTCAATGGAACCCTGTATCGACAAATCGACAGCGTGGCCATGGGAAGTCCATTAGGCCCAGTTATGGCTGATTTCTTTATGAGCAACTTGAAAAAAACACTGTACTACGTTCTTATATACAGAATGTACACGTTTATGGCCGGTATATGGACGACACATTTGTCGTTGTTGACACTCTTCAGCAGGCGGTATACTTAGTGGAAATGAGAAACAAGCGCCATCCCGTGATATAATTTACGACAGAACACGAATCCGATGGATCCTTCCATTTCCTGGATGTAAACTTACAGAGAAAAATAGACGTTACACTTGTTCGATATGTGAACAAGGAAAACCTACATGGACGGAACAATATCTGAAGTTTGCCCTATGAACTACAAGCGAGCTTTTGCTAGATCTTGTCAAATCTGCTCTCTGGAGACTATCGAATGTGAACTAGAACGCGTCACCTTGACATGACAAAAGAATGGATATCTCAAGTGATTCATAGCACAGTACGCCAATTTACAGCCGAAAGATAAACCATCAACAGATGTTCCAAAAAAAGGTATTCATTACGCTACATTTTAAAGGGGACAGAGTTGACAGATGTCGGTACCGTCTTCGTCAATCTCTGAGCACTAAGTCAGAAGGTTGTTGTGCAAATCCAACCTGAACAGACCGCTTCGTGCATCTACCGCTTTACCTGTATTTGCAGTAGCAAGTACGTTGGCAGAACTGAGAGAAGGCTGTCAACAAGGATTGCAGAGCACCTCCGGCGAAACATGGTCGCAAATGGCTCTAAATTACCCACTAGCTCTATTGCGAGCCAAGTACTCGATTGTCCAGTGTGCGAAAACCCATGTGGTAGGTTTAAGGTAATCAACAAACAAAGCAGTCCCGTCTACTTCAGTTCGCTGACTCGACGATTCGGCAGTTGAAACCAAGTTTGTGCAAACAAACGGACTCCGTGACCAGCCTCGCTCTACCCTAATGAAGCTAGTGTCGTCTTTCCTCTGACCGGGTCACGTGAACTCACCAACTTTCGACCGCCTTAAATTTTCGCTGATAAGATTGCACTTGCATTGCTCTCCATATGTAGCCTGGCCTTTCCACAAATTATTTGTAAACAGCTGAGAATACGTGAAACTACTGAATTCAGCATACTCTGTTAAAAGGGTGGCTTCTTTTTGCTCTGTTGAAACTGGATTCACCAGACCTTACACAGATCGTGATTGAGAAATAAATAGAACCGATCGGTACCACTTTACATACGCTGTTTAACGCAATTGCTATGAAGCAGTTACTGAATAAGCTTACGCGTAGCACTGCACATTTTAGTGAATGATACACAAAAGCAAGGCACCAAGTGCTGCTTCAACCCTGTGTGTCGGTTCACTAGTTCTCCATATATTGAACAACCATTCTAAGTTGTCTACCAATTTACCTACCTGGATAGTTGTGTTATCCCTGGTGGTCACATCACTGAAAATGCCACTGAACGTATTCATAAAGCTCATATAACATATGTAAAATTTCAGAGGCGGCGGGATCTAGTGGTACTGGCAAAAAGAAAAGTGCAAGAGGCTGCGGTGCAACCAATACTGTTGCAAGGATGAAAGACTTGGCTGCTCCGCGATAAAGAAATTAAAACAATGACCGTGTTTGACCGCCGATGCTCGCGGAGCATCGCCCATATCTAGTCCAACAACCAAATTGGTAATACGAAGTTCGTTATTCTGTGTTTGGAAAAAGACCATCTATCGTGCGTCACTGAGGTGACTGTTGAATCGCCTCCGCCGGATCGGCCAAGTGCTCCGCATGCTTGCATATCGGCTGTCTCGAAGTGTATAGTTCGCCAACACTGTGTCTGGTTGGATGAAACTAAGAGGTGGTCATCAATGATGCGGAAGGTTCCCTGATAGCACCACCGGACGGTCAAATGTCATGTTTCCGTTCGCTGCTGGATTGAAAACGGTGTGTGGAAAATAAAAAAACCCTAAGAAACCGTCAATAGGTATACCGAATGCTGCTTAAATAAGCAGAATTGTGCAGCAATGTAGAAAGTCAGAGAAAAAAGCTGCGCAGAGGAAAAAAGATGCATAACATTGCTTATCTAATCGATTCATTATTATCCATTTCGTAACTCTCGGGTAGTATATGTTTCGCACTTCAAATAGGTGTTTCGAGGCGCTGAAAGATTACCGAAAGTTCCTACAGTATTGAACGCTGTATGAACAATCGCTAAGATAGCAATCAATGGGGAAAGGAAATTGGGAAGCGAATGAAAAATGCATTTGTAAGTTCTGACAAGTTTCGTTTCAACTGTCCCATTTCCGTCTGAAATTTTTCCAGTTGTAGCTTTTCCGGGCAGAAATCGAAGGGGCACTGGACGGAAATCGGTTACTCGGAGAAGACTCGTGCCATTTGTGTGGGCATGAAGGAACTCATCGAAAAGTTAGGTAGGGTTGATTTTTTACATGCACTCAAATTAGCTAGCCGCAGTCGGATCCATCAGTGGTTGGACACGTTATCGGATACAGCGGGGTTACAGGTTCTTTGGTAACCTCTGAACTCGTTGCCTAACTTCGGGCCCTTGCTCAATCCATCACGATTTGCATTTTTTTTCTCATATCACTAGAACCATAAGCATAATCATTATTTCCCCGAAGTGTTTCAGTGCAACAGGGGACCTCGCTCTTCGGCTCACTGACCGAAGCTGATGAACTCAACTGAATACTCACGCACAAAGATTTAGAAACATTATTGCGACACTTTATCCATAATGTTAACAGTGGAACCTACTTGTGGAGCTGATTGTACCGCATCCCTTTGCTCTTTGGAATCCGATTCAGGAGCCATAAGGTATCCCGTTTCTTGGTCAGTGCCTTGTATTTGCAGGAAGCAACTTGTCGTGTGTCCAAGCCCAGAAGGCAACAATTTCGAACCAAGCATTGCATTAATGACAGTACTCTTGCCATTAGAAGTTCTAAAAACGAAGCGCAAGCACCTAAGTGGTCACGTTATTCGGCAACAGAAAATGCCTAACAAGTCATATTGATCCCCAGAAAAAATCGGCCAAGAATGTTTGCGTAAGGATAGACGAAATAGATAACGGCACTACCTTAACACTATGTAATCAAACTTCCCTGTAACGCATTTGCAAGTGAATGTAAGCTGGACCAAAAGCTGGAACATAAAATTTGAAAGCCAAACACTCCTAACGTTCATTATACTGCAAAATTCCACGAACCAGCAGTAAGTATAATCAGACCGCCTGTGTAAAATCTTAACATAGAGGATCGCGGCACTCGACGGCATCTGCCACGTCACTATCTCTTCTGTATGTCAATAATGGTGCGACAGGGCGGAAATCGGTAGGAGTGAAACCGTACTGTGGGGTTTTAGGCTGTAGGGATAAGAAGCAAGCTAATACAACACAATAATTAAAAAGAAAAGTTAAGCGGTAAGGTCACAGATATCGTAGTCTCCCTTGCCAATGTCGCGTTTGAAATCCATAAGCATGTGCCACGAACATAACCAAAAGTGGTTTAACAATAAAAAGTCATACACAGTGAAAACCACCAATCTGACAGGACTACATAATAAAGCACCTAATTTAAGTAACTGGAAAATTCCCATTTCATTATCAAGAACAAAAGACCGAAGGTAAACAATTGTTTTCGATGATTTATCTTCAGACCTGTACAATCATATGGGTGAAGTAACAATAGGCAAGTACAAGTGGATTAACGATCAGTTCAAATGAGATTGATCACGTGTCGACCAAAGGCATGAACCAATAACAAACAGCAAACTAGGGCTGAGGTACAGTTGCACAATTGCAGTTGCTCTCCGAAGGATCCGTTTTGGCTGGCCAAGGTAGCTTAACAGCTTCGATCAGCTTCTTTTGTGCACACAAAAGCGGTTGATACAACCGAATGCTGATCGCCTCGGCAGTAGCAAGGGTGCGGAGGCGCAGGCTTTTCGACTGGAGTGGAGGGACCCTGTATAGTATTCGAAAGGCACTGACTGGGTCAACCTCATGCCCACTATCAACAAGATGAGCCATAACTGAGCTCCAGTACCGCCTCGACGCAACCAGCGTGGTAGGTGCTCCTTAATGCGTTTCGACAGTTGCCGCGCCGTTCGACCGATATAAGTAGCGCCACAAGCGCACTCGAACTGATAAATTACCATAGAAGCGGTCAGCGTCGGTAACTTGTCTTTGTTGTAATTACGGATGAGTGGCTCCGTAAAAAAGGTACACCTAACCTTGGTTGCTGGTGGTTTCGACGAGCAGAGGGTGGAAAGGGCTGCTAGGATCCAGCGTGTTACAAATGTTAATAAAAACAAAAAAGCAAGTAACGGATTCAGAAAGATTTGCGAGCAATAAATTGACGCATGTTGCGCCCTGTTTGTTTGTGCATGACCCGACTGGAAGAGAATACAGGGTAGCCAGCGGACCACTTGGTGACAGGTAAACTAAATCGTTGACTTCACGTCTGGCCGCCGTTGAATCCACACGCCTGCGTGGTTGGCGGCCATAGGACGAGGACAGCCGATGGGTCGAAACAATTCAGGACATGACGCGCAAGGGAAAACAGTGGAAGATTTGTGCACACTGTTGCTTGGATCCAAATGTTTAATGTTCAACAATTAAAACGTCAGAAAGCGAAAAAATGGAGCGTGAAGGGAAACACGTGCGGTTTTCCTTGTGACAACTGTACTTAAAGTCTTCCGTTTGTTTCTATGGCTTTAGATGGCTCTGTCTATCCATTAGGCGGTGGTAGAATATATAAATATATGGTTGGCAGCATCCGGTTCCGGATTTGCCTGTCACTGCAGCCTTCTTAGGACAGCGACAGGACGCCTGCGCCTACAGAGGGACTGTAGGTGGCTTGCGCTGCACCACCCACAGCTTCATCCACATACACCATAGCCAGCGTAAACCCGAAGGAATACGAACGGGACTCGCAAAGACAAGGAGTAAGACACATATTTATGCCATAGGTTGGAAGGTAGGAGCATGTTCATATAGCAAAAAGGGAGGAAAGCACTTGACGGAGATCGTAGTGAAAATTACATCGTTTGAAGCAATTGCTTAATTGGCAAAAGATTTGGTGTAGTTATGCTCAATGAGTATTGCGCATGATAGCTGAGCACCATTACGCTAGCGCGGGGTTTACACTGCGGGTAATTACCTACACACTCTAAAACAAGGGGTTAAACAAGCGGGCACGTAAGAACAACCTGTGACCAAAATGTCTTTTACGACGAATTCGGTTGCCAGAAAAAAACTGATCTACAGATGAACGCACCGCCCGAAAAATGCGCATTTCATTTGGTTCCGAGAAATGACACCTCGGATATTTCGTATTTTCTCCAAATTTTCTTCCACTTCACGATGTGTGTTGGATCCAAGTAAACGGGAAAACTTGTCATCTATAGGGAAAGTCAGAGTAACGATGTGAACATACCGTGAAGTTGATCGCCGGTGAAGCGTAAACAGTCATCCATATACGACAGAATGGCATCGTACACGTCACTGAGCTCCTGCTTTGCTTCTTTAAATTTGATAAAGTGTGGGTGGCTTATTTGTTTCGTTATGCCCAAAGACCGCGGCCCTGCATCGCCACCAGAGTCCATCGATAGGTGCAGTATGTGTCCGGTCGAGGATTCCGAGCACTCCCGTGTCCGATGTGTATGTAGGTCGTAACAGACCTGGCGACTGCAAAGCAAATGGATCTTTATACCACATTAAATAAAACGTGCGACAGGCTAACACCTTGTGGCGAGCTGGATACCATTACCACAGCTGCCGGGGGATCGAGCCTGACATGATTGGATGGAGGGAAGATGCACGAGTAATGGCTGCGAAAGAAACAGGAAAGTAAAATTGAGGTTTAAAGATCTCGTACCTAAATGACCATTACAGTCACGCTCGGACCTGCTACATTATCCCCACTGCAGGCAGGCGCTGGTTTCAACACCTAAGGAAGCCCTAGTTGGTCGCGACCTGCTCCTGCGTAAAACAACTGAGGAGTGCAGCGTGCAAGGTTCCAGAGATTCCGCCACAGGCAGTCTCGTCAAGGTAAATTTAATGATCGCCTCAAGGGCAACGATCCAGCTTCGGGAGCTGTTGTCGGAAGCTGGCGGGGTTGCCAAATATGTAGAATGCGCCCGGTCGAGGATTCCCAGGGCTACCGTGTCCGATGTGTACGTAGGTCGTAACTCGGTCCGAACCGGCGGGCACCAAAGCGAACAAGTTGGGACTCAATTAGGACGACCAAGATTTAAAACTGTTATCATTGTTGAGCGTATATGTTTGTTCTCTTTAATAAATGCACCATCAACAATACATGTCATCTGAGGGCGAGAAAAACAGCTAATGTGCTGAAATACAAAAAGTAAGACATTAAGTAACGTAGACTTAAAAGTTATAAAAAGTAAAACACTTCGGGACCCAATACTCAAGGTTACACAATTTCACAAAACAAGTTGGCCACGTTCATGTCCATCTGCCGAGTTGCAACAGTACTTTCAGAGGAGACACTCGCTCTCTATTGTAAACGACTGCATACTATTTTCGGAAAGTGTGTTGTAGTACTGTTTCCTTAACACGGAACCTGCTAGGCTACGACCGTCTGACTGTTCAGTCCCGCACCAGCCAACCAACGGGATACAGAAAAAGGGCCAAGACTCGGTAACAGGGAGTATATTCTACACGACAGACCGCTCGTATTTATTAGGTAACGAAACGTACTATTTTTAGGAAGCCTAGCTATGCGACTGGCTCTCAGCCAATGTCAGTGATTTTGGTTCCACGGTTTTTCCATATTTGGCCGAATGCACTGCCTCCTTTGGCGCTGACTTGTATTTGCTAGCCAAAACTCTCGCCTGAACTGGCTTGTATTCGTTGGCCAAAAACTCGTGCCTGCTTTCCGAACAGTTTGACTTTGTACCGTGCTCGTGCTTTCACATGTAGCAGACAGCTCACGTACTCCACAGGAAACCCACACACGTTTGCGATCTCGTATTCGGACATTGGCTGGGCCCGCCTCTCTAGCACCTCCCTCTTTCAAAGGACTGCTTCTCCTTACCTTTCGCACCTGAGCTTGGTCGTAGCTTTTTTCCCTTGGGTTCACTTGCAGCCACTGCGGCTGTCTTCGTCTTCGACTTGGCTTGCTCGGTATATCACGCGGTAATTGAGCAACCGGTTCTATCCTATTTGAGGCATCAGTTTCGTTTTCCAATCCAAATGTATCTAGCAGAATGTCCCACTGTAGTTTTGACGATACTTGAGGTCTCTGGGTGTTTCCATGCCGTGGCCGTAGATGGTTGACATGCCTGGTCCACTTGTCCTTTTTTCCGATAACCGTTCCGATGGACCACCTTCCCGGAGTCTGGAAGTTTCGTGCGTACACCAGTTCACCGACCTTAAACCTACGAAGTCTCCCTTCCTGCTCTTCGTTTGTTTGTCCGTTGTGTTTTTCATCACATCTAGGAATCAGGAACCCACACACGTTTGCGATCTCGTATTCGGACATTGGCTGGGCCTGCCTCTCTAGCAGAGTGGTCATCCCAAGGCACTTCAGGAGCGTCTTATTCGGCAGTTCCATGCCGGGCATCCTGGAATCAACCGGATGAAGGCGCTTGTTCGCAGTTTTGTATACTGGCCCTTCATGGATAAACAGCTAGAAGAAATAGCTAAACGCTGCCAAAAGTGTGCCAATGTCTTGAAAGCGCCACAAAAATCAGTACTCTATTCATGGCCAAAAGTTACTAATCCATGGTGCCGCATCCATGTCGACTTTGCGGGACCGATCAACGGCCGAAGTTTCCTCATAGTCGATTCATACAGTAAGTGGCCTGAAGTATTTCTTATGGATAGCACAACCAACAATACCACCATATCAAAACTGCGCCGAACGTTTAGCAGATTCCGCTGTCCTGAGACAATTGTCACTTACAATGGCTCACAATTTACTTCAGCAACATTTACGGAGTTTTGCAAGCAATGCGCCGTCCAGCACGTTCACTCGCCGCCGTTTCACCCACAGGCAAATGGCGAGGCGATACATTCAAGCGAGCTCTCCACAAACCAAAAGGGGATGGACGTACAGAGGAGGTGGTTGATCGGTTCCTTTTTCGCTACCGATCAACACCGAATCCACAAGCGCCAGACGGAGTCTCTCCAGCACAGGCCATGATGAACCGGAAGCTCCGCATGCCTTTCGACGCCATCCGACCGCGCTCGGATTCCTCTGTTGGTGAAAGAAACCGTAGAATGGAACAGGATTTCAACCGGCGGTATGGAGCAAAGAAGCGATCTTTTACGCTTGGATAGAAGGTACTAGTACGTGACTATCGGAAAGGCCATGCGAAATGGACGCCAGGGACGGTCAAAAGCAAGCGCGGAAACGTCATGTATAATGTGACCGTGGGCGCACAGATCTGGCCACGGCATGCAAACCAATTACGGCCCACATTGTGCCAACCAGAACAAGCAAGGCCTACTGACCTCCCGTTCGTTTTACTGGTGGAAAGGTTCAACCTGCCGAAGGTAGAAGTGGACGACTGCACACAATCGAGCAAAGAATCCGAAACACGGACATCGGAACAAAGTTCTTGGGCGCTTCTGCCAAGAAGGTGGACCGACAGGCAGAGAACACCGTCCCGAGGACTGCAAGTCAATCATAGGCTTCCGTCTTATACCTCGGACGATATCTCAGGAGGGGAAGTGTCCGGGAGAAAGTAAGAATTGCCTTGGAAATCCATTATTTTAGCGATTAATCGATTAGTAACGATTATCGCATCGATATCGAACATTCCGGAATGACGCTACTGCAAAAAATATGGGGAACTACTAATCTTAGTGGCTGACCTTCCAATTCTAGAAGTCGAAGATCAGTAAGAGACCTGTAAATACAGCCAAGGTCCACAGTAGTTGTACGGTGTTCGTTGGCGGCGATTAGTACGTTATTTTGTCAAGGTCATTGGCGTTTTGCTTTTTCCTTCGGTTGGACTGAAAGTTTTGCGGAGCAATAAATTGTTATTTTTGGAATTGCATTTAGTGAGAAGATTATAACATTATGTTTGATCTCCTCTCGTCGAATGGGCATGTTACGGCTGCTTTAGCGGTCTCAAAGGACCAAGACCCTTAGAGCTACCGTTAGCATGGCTTTTTAAACCGTATTCTGTGTGGCCAGTACCAGATGATCAAGCTTGCGATTTACACAGACCAATATCCTGCACTGGTCAGTTTTGCTTTTTGATGGAGATGACACAGACTATGATCTTATTCTCCTAATACAAAGATATGATTATCTTGTAAACAGGGCACCCAGGCCTGAACAGCGTATTCCAAGTGTGGTCTAAGCACTGCGTTATACAAACGGAGAAAGACCCCCATATTGGTACAACTCAGAAGTCTCTTGGGTAAAAATAACTCTCGTGTTTTCGTAGCAGCATACTTACGTTGTGTCGATGGCTTGAAGTTATTCGTTACGACGTGCTTCGGTAGCAGGTGCAGTGACAGAGGTCCAATAGGTGCGTGCAACACATTGTCAACACGGTCAGGATTTGGCATTTGCTAGCGTTCAAAGTAAATCCTAGGAGTGTGACCACTTAAAAACAGTAGCCAAAAACAACAGCCATGTAGCTATTGCCAACAAGCTCACACTAAATGAAACGTAAGGTTAAATACGGGATCAATGGATTCATGGTCATCAACAATACATGTTAGCTGATGGTGAGAAACACACCTCAGCTAATGCGCCGAAAAACAAAGGATAATATACTAAAAATGACATTACAAAAAATTCAAAAAGCCAGTAATAAAATGTTAAATATCTTATTATTCACCTGCTATGGGATCGCGATTAGAGGGGAATCTAAAGTAGAGGGGGATAGACAGAAACGCAAAACACAAAGGCCACTGTGACCGGCTCCAAGTCAAGTCAGTGTGTCTAACCAAACCTGTTCATCGCCTTTCGAATCCCAGCCCGGCAGTCCGATCTATTAACCGACGTAAACTTAGAAGTGATGGTTTTCATTCCAAGTGACAAAGTCACCGCGTGACCTTTCCTCCACTTCGTCCATCCACACTCCACCGCGCAAACAACCCACATCGCGGAAGTCGGTGGGCTGGCCTGCGCAACATGTGGCAAGGCCATCAAAGCCTTATGTGTGATAGAACGATGCCGATTGGCTCACTCGCTCTTTTTGCACCAAATACGCGGTACTGAACACACTTTATTACTCACACGGTGCTCCCACCGGACATGATCTTAGCTGCGAAGGCAGCGATTGTCGAACTTAACTAGTCTCGTTATGTCTGTCGACCTGATGGGCTAGGTTCCACAAGCGTATAGGAGGGTTGAAAGGACGGCTGCATTATAAACTCTGCCCTTCACGGCGAGAGTTATGTCGCGTCAGCACCACAGGTGGCGGAGATTGGCATAAGCACCTCGAGCTTTCGCTGTACGGTTCGTGACCCCATCTTCAATCCCACAAGCGCTAATAAAGCTGCCCAGGTACTAGAATTCTTGAACGATTGCATTGGATTGTAGACAGCAGTAAAGAAAGTCCCATGTGCATTCCTTCACTTTCCGATCATCGCGTAGAAGCTGCGAATCGTTGCGAAGCGGTATTCAATAATGGAGGCAGCAATGCCAAAGCTTCCTCATCAAGTGCGAATCCAAAAGTCACTTGAAACATTCCACAATCT